ACTGCAGTGCTCCATCGGCACCCGAGGCACACGCAAAAAAGAGTGACGAATGCTCAGACAGCCATCGCTCTGGTGTGCACTTAGATCCTAATGCAAGGCAGGCCTCAGATTTGCCGGGAGAACGTCACAGCCTGAAGGACCCCGACATAGCGTCTGCTGAATAACACCCAACTCATATAATAACACCTCCAATCGCTTAGCTCCCAGGCAACCGCCTGGCACCGTACCTCACTGTACAGTGGCCCTACGCTAATCACGCCAGTGGTCCAGCACCTAATAATCCTTCTCCAACCTGTGACAATGGCACAGAGGGCTCGACACTAATAACAACAGCCTTAAATAAAATATTTGTAGAGCAGAGATACGCAGGGGGTGAGACGTTTCAATTTTCTTCGATGAAAGCCCAGTGTATGTGTTGGTGAATCCAAAGAGCTCATCCCAATGACAGGTGTTTATGAATATTCACTGACATTTAGATTCTCACCTGTTCAGTCTTGAATTTAATTATTACCAGTGAGCCTGCAATTGTTATACAGTGAAATATATTACACCAAATTAAAAACCCGCTGAATTTCAGAACGACCTTCAGCAGGGGAGAAAGCAACCTAACAAAAGGCCCCCCTCTTGAAAATTAACTGCCTGCGGTTCAGTGTGAGAGCTGGGGAGGGAATACAGCAGCGTGCTGTTTATAGATTATCGCACTCATTAGCATCGATGAAAAACCGCGGCCGTTCGCTTTGAGCAATTTGCATTGCTTAACTCACCTCACCCTTCTCAAGAACGCAGAAAATATATTCGCTTTGAAAAAATATATAGGCCTATGTAAATGCAGAATCGGAATATGGGGTCAGGTGTTTGTAAGATCATCTGGGAGATAAATCTTTTCTAGCACTGCTCACAATATCATGATATAACAAATAAAAACTTGTATTCCGCATTTTCCCCGCTTTAATACCCTCACCTGCTCCAAGCCTTCAATTTAGCATCATCTGTGTGGCTTTAAAACAAGTCTCATTCCAACATTGCCTGGAGGAAAATATCTCGAAGGCAGAGACGGGTTTGTCGCGGAGAGACATCGACGATTTTATTACAAAATTACATTCCAAAGAAAAACTCTTCCCAAAGGACAATACACAACCTCCGGTTCATCCGAGAGCATAATAAAAACACTCAGGCTGAGTTTTTAAGGATACACACTACATCATCTCTACAGGAGAGACATTAATCTGAATGTATTTTATGAATTGCCGTTTTTCCTGAATGTGCATACGCTGCAGGAAAACTACAATCAATAAGTGCATTTGTGCATTTCTGTTCTCAGCCCATCTGTCACACCACCTAGGCCTACCGTTGTCCTGTATATTAATTTGCACACGATGATGCGGGAGGAGTGGTGACTATATGAAAGGACCATAGGCCTCATGAGGTCTGATCAGTCGAGGCTATAGTACCGAGCCTCGATGGCAATTTTACTTCAAAAAAAAAAGGGTAAACTTGACTTAGCCCCTGATCTTTTCAATAGCTAGAAACGTTCCTGTGAAACAACCATGTCCGCTAATGCAACGCCCACGTCCATGATTTAAACACTCAGCACAAGTCCCGATACACCAGGACACACAAACGTCGATCATCAGCTTAACGGCAACAGGAAGAAAGGGAGACTTTTTCCGGAAAGAAAGTTTAAAATATCCTTGGAAGTTAGGCTGAACAGGGATCTTTCAATAAAACATGCTGGGAGATATATCACCGGCTAATGGCAAACATTGATCCAGCGCAGTAAAAACCTATCGAGCGATTGAGCTACACTGTCTATCCGAAGGCCGTCGTGAGGCCGTGATGCATAATCAAGCAAGCCGCCGAAAAACAGACACAGTGTAAACTGCAGCGGCCAATTTAACAATGAATCATCTAAACAAATTACAAAAACTGATACACACTTTCAGGCAATAAATAATGAGCATTACAAAGTCATTTTCTCCGTATTTGTAAATTACACAGGGACATACAGCATTAAGAATCTAACAACAAATATTTGCATTAGATTGCTGTGGTTTGACTGTGATAAAGACTGCAGTAGGCCTACTCTGTTTTATTTCTGATAAACAGCGATTGACTTTAAGCCAAGACGTCGATTGTAGAATAACGTACCATCAATCTACTGCAGCGGGGAACACGGCGACTGCATAGCGCCACGCCTACTTAATGTGTTAAGGGGCATTTAAAATAGGATATAAGCTTTCACGCTTAATCATTGTACGGGTCTTTTTTATCTGATAGATTAAGAGGACGGAGGTTTATCCTGCATTAATATCCAAGCCATGTACACCGGAGGGACTGCAGCGATCAACGTCTCACTTTAGACTTTTCTGTAACACTTTGTCGAATCACCTGGAGAAAAAGTTTCGGCGGTGTCTGTCCTCTCCTGTATAACCGAGCCACTAATTTTACACGAGAGGTTTTGCCAAAAATACACCTGTATCTATAAGCTTTGTCAGAGAGGCACCCGGCACTCACTTGTGTATCTACAACAGCCTAAGAACAAGAAAGAAAGAGGAAAAACAAGATTCTTTAAAAAACTGGTCGTGGACTCGCAGACATAGGGCCTATACTTTATCTTTCAGTCTTATGTCTTATGACGACGTCTAACTACAGCCTTTTTCTCCCAAAGGTAACCCAATGAAATATTCACAGAAATCACATGTTCACCTTTCAGCAAATAAATACCTGGTTAAAGCGAGGCAATTAAAATACTTAATAAAAGCATATAAACAAAATCATACTTGCTCGTTAGAAACTCCGGCATCAGAACTACACAGTAAGTAGCCTATACTTATGCAGTTCCCGCGCTGCCTCTAACAACCACGGAAAACTTAGAAATACAAAAAAGTGCTCAGCTTAATCATTCCGCGCAGATCTTTGAGAAATTACATATCGATCCCAAGTCTTCTAAGTTAAATTGACATATCAATGGGCCGGGTGGGTGGAGGTAGGAACTGATGCCTTGTACATTGTCAATCTGAAGTACGGTGCGCATTTACCAGTGGGTGCTGGAGAAAGGCTCATAGCGCGATTCTATAATCCTGGTGGGGGTGCGGGTACGGGGATCGGGAGGAACCGACAGCTTCAAGGAGCCCGCCACCAAATGCCAGATAATGACAGTGTGCGAGCAGAGTTCGGCCCATTGGGACGCTACCCGCAGAGACAATTAACTCCTTCGGGACAATAATGTAGTTTTCATGGTGTAACAGTTTGCTGCAGATGCAAAACAGCCTTGTTATCACATACCTTTCCATATGTATACACGCATGTTATCGTCAAAACCAGATCCGTTTCCAGTAATACGCAATGAAATTGTGTTACATATGCAACGTTGTCGTTGGCATCTAAAGCTATCTTGGCCGCGGTCTGACGAGTTCAAAGCCTCAGCGTTATGACAGCTCAAAGTAGAAGGTTTACAGTGAACGGGTGATGATGATGAACGGTTTATTTTAGAGCATTCTCACCGGAGGAGACGGAGGAACCAGACAGACTGGAGTTACTGGACGCTGCCATCCCGGACACCAGTCTTCGGCTATTTTACACGCACGCAGTCCAGGTGCGCTCGGCACAACCTCCCGGAGGTCCGTCCATCTCGCTTAGAGACCCGCTGTCGCTTCTGGCTTCAGGAGAAAAAGAAAATCAGCAAATATTTCCAGTACGCCTTTTCCTTTCTAATATTTATCTTGTTGCACGATGCTCTCTCGGATCCCTCAAAAATGGCACAGGGGTTTGAATCGGCGTCTCTTCCCGCATTCGGCGGCGCGATTTGCGATTAATGACAGTCGCGCAGTCCTGCCCAAAAAAGCCAAGTATATTTCAAACAGGGAATTTAAGCCGATAAAAGTTTTCCAGCTATTTGCAAAAAAGCGTGGGATGTTGCTAATATCCCTTAAAGTTCATGCAAAATATATGTATGCCACCGAAGCCTTCGCCATGTTGAATTAGAGGGAGTTACTGTATCTTTTCCATGTGCCACTTAAAGACTAGTAATAAACACACACTGTACTGGCCGCGCCGTTTCCGCCTTCTTAAAGTGGCAGCGGGCTGACCAGCAGCCAGCGTGTTCATTTACAGACCACCGCAGTCACCTCCAGGTTGAGCGCCACCGCGCAGGCTTCCTCTCGGTCGCACCCAGACTATTTGCGACACACGCATCGCGTGCACTTACGTGCGTTTTGTCACAAGCAAATTTCGGTTCACATGCTGGATTTTCGACACAGTATCTGGCGGCGACTGGTGATAGACGGCGCAGTGCACGAGACAAATCTGGCCTATCGCTGCGTAGCCTATGTCTGAGTTAATTTATAATATAAGGTCCATCTCATGAGAAACTCCCGAAATACGCCCATTTGCTGTATCTCTTAATACTCATCGTTTAATGGTAATGGAGCGAACGGCACGTTATTTGTTTAAACGCGCTGTCAAGCCCAAACTTGAATAAAAATGTTACCGGGAAGAATGCTGGAGAGGATTTCTCCATTCCCTTACCTTCTGCCAGAGCAGGATGCAGTCTCCAGATTAACGTTAGTATATTAATAATTTGCAAAGCAAACCCAGAAGGGAAAATGCTTGTTGCATACTGTAATACATTTCACGGATTTAAATGCCCGAAAAATCGTAAATCTCATCGGATAAGTCATAAGCTATTAACGCTCAAATCCCCATTTTTGCACAGCGTTCGAATTCATCGCTACGTTATCATAGAAGTACTTATCGGTACTTATCGGTTGAAGCTATGATTGATTCATTGAATTTGCGCCATAATTACTCGTCTGTTTCACGAAACTCCTCTGCACTGTTCTAGATTCATAATTGGGAATACTTTGTTACAGGGGCTAAATTCCCAGTCTTTTTCAGAATATTTTGACGTCACACATCAACCAGCCAGTTTACTTGACTTTTTATAATGAAATAGAAACTAAATATACAAATATAACAAAATATACATTAGGTCTAATTGTAAAATTTCATAGCTGTCTATTTTTTCGATTAGACTCATGCTTGGCTGTCAAATATACAAGCTAAAGATCAAAGGCATAATTTCTATAAATTAAACACAGAAACACAATGCAAAATAAACGATTCAGTTTTATTCACATCCAAAGCAATGGATTTATCACTGAGTCGCCAAGTGGTCTAATAGCGGTTTTTATTCATGATGTCAACGCTATAGGTACGTGGGAGGTCCAAATAACAGTCAGGCCGGTGGGAATTAAGTACATAGCACGAATGAACACTTTTGGTATAAATAAGTAAATAAGTTCATCGCGGTACCTTGTATTGTACCCTGACCTGTCAGTCCGCGCTCTGCCTTACGCGCCTTACACATTATGTCGCATCGCATGAATTGACTACCGTTGGTAAATTTTCAACACAAATATCTAGTACTATGAGTCCACCTAGTGGTTACAACAATTTGGGCTTCATTTTTAAAGATGCATATGAAATCTTCAGCTCGTTAAGACTGTTTATGACCAACAAACCGTCTCAAAAGACAGATATAATTGCAGTGATTTATGCTTTTTATTTCGGATCGATGGTACAACTCTCATTATTGGCTGAAGTAGGCCTACTAAGTATTGAAAAAACACTTTAAAATATTTTCCCATTCTCTTTGATTCCCATTAAACGTAAGGTGGAATTGTTCTGACACTACAACTGGTGCTTCATCATCATACTGGTTATTAGGATCGCATGTTCATTAACACAGGAACGTGACTGGCATGGGTAACCTGAAGGAGGTGAGGAGTTCATCAGTTTTGTGGGCGTTTCCCAGAGAGACACGTGGTCAGGATCGACTGCGTCTGCAGCACCGCCGCTGGAGTCCTCCAACCGGCTGCGCTGCGCTTTAAGCCCGGCAGGACGGAGTCAGCACCCGCTGCCTGCTGCTTCCTGGCGCGTGCGTGAGCAACTGGGGCCAGCCGTATGTCTCTCTGGAGCGGAGACAGGATTTGCTAGGATCTGAGACAAGCGGAGAAAGAGCGATGCAACATCTATTATTGTTTTACAGGCATCGCGATTTTTCGTTATTCTGCACCTAAAACGTGATTCTCAGGCAATGCTGGCTGTTGTGTAGGCTTTATGAAATATAGCCAGAAGTACTACTTTTAACCGTAATTTAAATAACTGAAATAAATACATCAAATTGAATCTGCAAAAATGGTTTGTCGAAATCATTCCCGAGATATACAATGTGAGAATGGGTTTAGAGATCACAAGGTCGACCCAAAGATATAGCTACCGAGCATGGTTACAAACCCAAAACTACGTGGGTGGGTTCCATGCGGGTACGGTGAGTGGAGTGCTGTCATTCTCTATTCTGGCCTGTAGCCAACGTGGCTGTCATCATAAATCTTTACATTTTAACATGTAGGGAGATCTTTTCATATCTGAATTAATTCATATGCCTGGATCTCACGTCTTGCGGGTTAGGCGCGTCCTCAATTTTATGTTCTGTAGTTTGTATCTGGGCGTATTTCCCTTGTTTTCCTAAATCAGCCACCAGGCGTCACTGCTGTAGCGTTTTTTTGCTAAAATGACATGATGCGCATGTCGGCCTTCGCACCGTCGCCGTGGTATTTCCTGACACATTGTCTTCTCCCTTCAGGTCTTTTAATTATTACAGCAAAACTGATTTGTGTTATAAATTAGCAGAAACGACCTCTTACTTCGTTATTCTATGAAGAAGCAACTTGCTGTGTTCGGATTTGTAACACATATTGCTCTTAAAATCATAAATGCCGTTACAACTTCAGTATGGCCCGTGGTTGTACGTGTCGTCTGCGTTTTATCAGTGCGCACTGTGTAGGATGTGAAGCTTTTCCCAGGAACCTCTGGATTTGGAACAAAGGAGGCCACTTTACGGGCGTCCGTCGCTTGTGGCAGCTTTCACTGCAAACCAGCGCCTGCTCTAACTGCTCCAGTGCATTACGTTCCCTTATATCTTTGCCGTGAACATTTCCAGTAATGCAGTGAGCCGTCTTTGAACTGTGTGTGTAATTGCCACAGTTTTGCACAAAGTGTTGCATCTGAAGTTACTTTGTGATAAAGGACATTCCTCCCCCCCCCCCAACCCCCATCTCTGTCCCAACCCCCACACCATCTCTTTCTCGGGGTAAGAGAGGGACAACTTATTTTAATTCCTTCCAGATGTGTGTCTCTCCCCCTCCCACCGGCACTCGCAGCGGCGTGACTGAGACTCTGATAGTGCTGCCCCCAGTGCTACAGACAGACGGTGTGAGTGCAGGGATCCAGAGGCCAAACATAGGCTGGGGGGCTGTCCTGGTCTCCATAACGACATAGTGGCTCCGGCTGACTGTGACTGGTGCCGGGGGGGGGGGGGGGGGGCGCACTTCTGCAGAACTGGGTAGTAGTATTTGAAAGGAAAGCTGTGGAGCACACCCCTTCGATGAGAACCATCTGGCCCTTGGGGGGGATAGATGGGAGGCTGGGGAGGGGGGGGGTTCTGGAAGATCAGCATGGAGCCCAATCATCTGCAGTTTCCCAGCATTCCTAGCAGCCTGCATTGTGTGTCACATCGACACACATAACCTCCCCCCCCATGTACATACACACCTATATGCCCACAGACACATACATGTATCTGACACATCAAATGTCATCCACATCCAAACAGGAATGTGCACACCTACACATGTTCTCTATTCCTTTATCTTTAGGGGTCAGTTTTATCTCCAGGGAAACATAAATATGGAGTATAGCGGCGTATTTAAATAATAAATACCTTTTTCTGGAATTGGCAGCATGGTGGCATAGAATGAGTTAATGCTGTGAGTGTAGATCTCTGATCTCTGGAATGGGTTATGTTCCTTAATGGCCCTAACAGCTGCCGGTTGTATAAACTCTGTCAAACACATGCATGCAGCTTCTCTCTCTCTCTCTCTCTCACACACACACACACACACACACAAACAGACGCTCGCTATCTTCCTGCCTCACGTTTCATGTTTACTTTCTAGCACCTCAGTTGCTTCGCCTGTCCTTTTCTGACTGGATCTCGACACGGTTTTACGCATCTGTGTCTCCCCAGGGCTGAGCGCATGTCCGTCACACACAGAGCCGACCTGCGTCTCCCCAGGGCTGAGCGCGTGTCCGTCACGCACAGAGCCGACCTGCGTCTCCCCAGGGCTGAGCGCGTGTCCGTCACACACACAGCCGACCTCCTCCTGTAGGGGATGCGCAGAGGCTCGGGAGCAGAAGTTTGCAAAACATTTTCAGATGATGCTCAACATGTGTTTCTAGTTGGGGGACTTCCGGCTCTTTCTCTCTGTTCCCCACTCTCTCTCCAAATCTTTCTCTGGAGCAGAACCTTTTTTTTCAGAACCAGTCCTCCTCTGTATCAGTCTATGTCTTTGTGTGGTTCATAGCCTCTCTTCATTCTCTGGTACTTTCATCACTCCTGGTCTCATTTGGCCCCCATAGGTGGGGGGGGGGCGGCGGTTTATTGCAGTATCCAGCTGGCAGATTCAGGAAGTCCAGCCCCAGGATTTCAGCACCCGGTTCTGCAGCTGCTCTGATTACTTATCTGGACTGACCCAGATGTTCATGGAACGGACGGCTTTGTTGTGGCGGTCAGAGGGGTGTCTCGGTCCTGCTGAGGGTGGCCCGAGAGCCTCCACACCTGGCAAGCACCCCCCCGCATCCCCGGGTCGCTCCACGCGTGTGGCGTGGTCACGTACCGATTTCACGGGGGGGCCCTATGGAAGGGACTGTGAAAAGGAAGCTTCACTTCAGCGTGTGCGAATGGGTGGGGGGTATCGATGGCGGGGGAGGTACACAAATGTTGTACATACATGAAAATATAACCCTCCTCCCCCCATAAGCCTCCTCCCAATGTATGATGGACAGCTCCGTTCTGAGGCCTGAATGAACCCTTTGTGATTAAGTGGGTCAACAGTGATGGGCTACAGGGAGAGAGAGAGAGAGAGAGAGAGAGAGAGAGAGATAAAAAAGAGAGGGAGAGGAGCCTGGAATGCCATCTTCCTTTAGTTCCTATCACTTTCTTAAAAGCGCAGATGCAGCCCTGCAGCATATGAAGCTGGAAATCTCTCCCACAGACAGTATGCTTCCTGTTTAGATACCGGCAAACCGTCGCCCTGTATAGCCAGGGAGAGAGGAGAGAGGGGCCTGTTACCGGGGATATTTCTTCTCCTTGTTCCTACGGGAGATTTTCATGTTTATGATTGTACGTCATTGGCTCTTGATTTTGCTGGAAAGCACAGCTGCCCTGTGCATTCTGGGTATTTGAAGACCTGTGACCCTGAACATACAGGTCTGACTGAATGCTCCCAGCTGGCCCTCGCTGGTGCCCTGGTTACCTGCTGCCAGCTAGTCCCACTTACCAGGTTGTGCTTAATCATTTTCTGTTGTTGTTTTGGAAATTTGAAAGCTTGGCTGAAGAAAATATGCATGGGGGAGAGCAGATGTGGCTGCCGTCTGCTTTTCAAATCTTGTACAGGAAAGGATCTGCTCTGCGTTTCCACCATGATGAAAACTAACATCAGCCACAGTGTAATCCCGACGACTTTATGGCGTCAGGGCTGTTACATTGTTCCTGCTTTGGATGACCTGTTGATTGGTCACATAACATGCTAGGGGAGGAGCCTTGGAGTCCCTTATCGATGATGTAATTTCTGTATGATTTCAATGATGAGGTAGACTCCGGAAAGCGGCTGGCTGATGGGACGCCTTTCACTCTTAGCCTCGTGCTTTCTCCGCCAGACTGATGGGAAAGCGATCTCGTCGCCGGGACTGACTCGGTCTGCTTCCCGTGGCACTTTAAAAAACAGAAAGGGTAGCAGGAATGGAAGATGGATAAATGGAAATAAAACAGGCACAGTGATGTGTTTTTCGTGTTATTAGTCCATTAGCAGCTCTTGTACATAGACAAGTAGCACATCGCTTGCCAATAGGTCTGCACAGCGCAGGGTTAGTGCACGAAGAGATATCCACCTGGTAGTGGACTACTGGCTTCTGCAGGTCCTGGTGTAGAAGGATCTGTTAAATGTCACCCACAGCCCACAGCCCACTGCTCTGTCTTGCAGCTCTCCTAAAACCATCTATCCCTCTCGCTTCCGCTCTCTGCAGTTTCAATGTCCTCTAAAGGAGATTCTCTGTCAGTCTCTTCTCCAAAGAACTCCAAGACAAAGAAACATACTTAAGCATGTACAAGCGACTATGAAATGCACTGATTGTCTGACTTCAACTATTGCATCTGAAATGTGTTTTCCTGGAACCTGTTCAGATCTCTACTCACTCCAGCTAGAGGGTTTTGGGATTGAGTCCCATCCCCACTCTGTTTGTATAGGGCGTTTATGCCTTCTTTTGATGTTAAAGATGAAGTGGGATTTGAACCCCCAACCCAAGAGGTATTAAATAACAGTGATACTAACCGAGCCAACAGGCCGCCCCAGAGTGGTGCGTGTGACGTGGTCAAGAGGGGAGTGTAAATATTGTGTTTGTCTTTGTGCAAAAAGCTAATCTGAGTTGTGCTTATTTGAGAAAGTTCCCAGCTCTCACATGCAGCGCGCTGTAAGACACAAGGTCAGACTCCTGCCAGATAACCACTCGCACAGATGTCTTAGGACCTTCCGGAATAAAGATTTCCCCCCCATCGAAAAAATCAGCCATTTACTTCTTTACTCCAGATGCGAGGGACATCGCCCACACTTAAGGTCCCCCGCAGCTTGTGGTTAAAACATCCCGGTAAATTTACTGCTTCTTCCCTTGGGCCCAGTAACCTGAGATTGTCGATTTAATTGACAAAATCTTTGGCAATATTTGAAGGCTCCAGGTGATTGTTATATAAATATTTCTATACATGGACCATGACTCTTCACCGGATGAGGACTTGCAGAGGATTGCCCTGAAACGCTGTATGTTTGGTTATATATATTTACAGTGTAGTTGTGGTATGTCCCGCCTTTGTGGGGCGTGACGCTGCTGCTCATTGGTGGAAACCTTGGGTTCTCCTCTATCTCTGTAATTGAGGAAAGTTGATTGGAAGGCTGATTAGATACAGGAGCTGAGCTGCCCACTCCCACTGTTTGTTGTATGCCACCCTGGGCCCCCTCCCAGTCAGGTTCGGTTCGGCTCTGGTCTGATTGAGGGTCTTACTACACTTTCATTTAGAGTCCTTCTTTGAGGCCAGCCCCGCCCTCTCTTCATACCATGAACCAATTGGTGCTCTGCGTTACAGCTGATGAGGTGATTGACAGGTCCCTCCACTAGTGGTAGCCAGTCACTAAAAGATACCAGCCTGTTTCCTCCATGCCTCAGCAAACCTATTTGATTTTACAAAGGGCACTCCACATCAAGCTCTTTGTCTCAGTTTTAACAATTGATTTGTTGTTTGTTGTTGCTGAAATGTTAATCCCCATGTACTTAGTTGCTATTTTCTATTGGTCAAATTAAAAAAAAAATTGCCTGGGGATGTGCATCTTTGTTGCTACTCTGTGCGGTGTGGTGTATGATGGGAAATCGTTATACTGGAATAAGCCAAAATAATGGACGGACTGTTAACTTTAATTTACGAGCCTTAAACATAAAATTATGCCTGGATATTATAGTATTACTAGCTGCCATGGTTAGAGAATTGTGAATTTCTTCTTTGTTTTGAAGCTTGTTGCAACTGGTGACGCGATCGCTTTGTCGCCCCATCTTGAAAACTGTAAATAAATATACAATCAAAGGTTTTAAACCGCACCATGTTCATTATCATCATATAAAATCAAACGCCGTGTATCCAGCGTCGTTGACACTGGTCTGAGAACTGCGATGACTATTATGGTGGCGCGGTTCTGCAAATGGATGACACTGATCAAATGGTGTAGTGATTCCTCTTGGCATTTAAGGAAAACTAAAGTATGGACAACACTATGTTTTTACCAACTACTTATTGTCTCCCTCTCCCTTTTCTCGAGGTTATCCTCAGTGTAATCACCATTGCCTTTTGAAGTCAGTTGCACTTAACTTTCTTTCCCACAGAAACAGCTAACTATCGCGTTTCTGTCTCTAATACTTGCTCATTTCCCAGTTCTGTTCTCTCTACAGACTTGCTCTAGTCTTCCAAACATCTGTAGATGTAAGACTGTTTTCCCACTCAAACAAGGTTACTCACGAGAGAGCGTCGGTCCCTCTGCAGCCCGGAACCTGAACTACATCTGAAGGCATTTGAGCATGGAGCATGAACAGGAAGCTCTCTATTTTTTGTGAATTTTAGAGGCAACAACAAAGTCATTTGAGGGCTAGACAGGAAACGACCTCCGTGCAGCAGAGTGTTTTCCAGTGGTTTGCATTACAGAGCGCAATTCATCACTGAAGAGAAAGTGCCGAGAATCCAAGCACGAAGCAGATTCCACCAGAAGATGCCGAACAAGATGGCTCCGTTGAAACGGACGAATCTGTTGGAAGGGTGTCAAACAGATTGTTGCCGATTTCAAGGATGCATGCCTTATAGTTGCCTGTTAAATGGACAAATATAAATTAGCTATTACACCCCCGAATGTTGCCTACTGATCTCGCCTTGTGTTTGTGGGCGAATTGTTGTCCGCAGCAGAAGACAGTAGCGCTCACTGTGGTTTACCTCGAATGAATTGCGGGACAAAATGTACAAGGCAAATTTAACTTATAAGCAAACAAACAGAGCCTGTATGTAAAACTTTTTGGAAAGTTCCCGAGGACAGAATAAGATCCACTGCCACCCGGTCGTCAACCACAGCTAAACAAAGATCAACATATGTGTCCAGTATGACTTCCTGTTATGGTCAGAATTGTTCCTTGTTGTGGTTCATGGTCATTGGTCTTCAGGAACAAAATATAAATTCTAATTATACTGCGCTAAAAACAACAAAACCCATATTTAACGATGCTGGGGTGTTTTCGACATCTTTTGAAAGGTTAGCTGCCGCGTTTAGATCCTCGTATATAAAAAACAAGAGTGTCCGTACCTGCAACAGACCACAATGTGTCAGAATGCATGAGCCTGTTATTGGCTACGCGGACTGTGTGTCATTTGTTCATCGTAAAGGAGTTTTACCGGATTCAGTTACCAAATGGTGTTTAAAGAGCATTCACAGAGCTGTCCAACATCAACATAGCAAAACGTTTCATATATATAACAGACTTATCAGTCCTGCATTTTAACCAGTAACGGTGAACGGATTAGTGCTAGATTTATTGCAAAGTGTGGCTTTGAAGATTATCACGAATTTCAGTAGTTATCTGTGTCTACTGTGTAGTCCACATTCCGAGTTAAATCTCAGCGAAATAGCTCGCAGGCTATTGAATCAACACTGAAACAATTAAGGCTGTGATATTTGCATTCACCTGCAGTTTCTGAGTAATGAAACGTATAAACTTCAAGACAAAATGCTTCGACGAAGATGCTTTTGTCTGATGACTATTTGCAGATATAACCTTTTGTTTTTTTAAAGACCGAACCTTTTTTACACAGACTATTCCGCACCATTGTAATTACAACGACCGTAAAACATCTGGACGACTCTGGAAGCCGAACTAGGGCACATAAATTGGTAATTAGCTGACTTCGCTCAGCCACACTGCCAAGCTGCACAGACGTTCCGCTTCGTCTCTCACTTAAAATTATGCGCCACAAAGTGTAAAGCGGTCACCAAGTAAAACGAATAACATATATATCTGTAGACTAGGATGTCGAGCAGAACAGAAGATTTTGTAGGTCACTCAGTGATTTGCGTTTTAACTGTAATCCTTCTAACACAGGCCTATTTAAGAATGTCTAAATAATAGCGGCTTCAAGACACTGCCGACCCCCCTCCCAACGTGGGAAGAAAGACTTTACATCTGTTTTTTTTTTTGTTTCCTCGTCCCGCGCTTTTACAGCCAGATGTTGTGAAGACATGCGGTAGCAGACGCAACGGCGACAATGTAGCGTGAGCGCGTTTATTTGATTTATTCCCGACCTTTATCCGCCTATCGGCATCTGGACGGAGCCGGGACGGGACGGGAGCGGAGGAGGTGCTCTGCTCGGGAGTATTGTCGAGGTCTGTAATTTGCAGCAGATGACCACTTGGGGGATGTGGATTTGGGGAGGTGTACATTTCCTCAAACGGAATTGCTTCCCTGTGTTGCTTTGTCAACTCCTTTTGTTATTGCTGGTATAAAACTGAAGAACAGCTTAATGGCGTAGGACACCTTTGATTTTTGATGCACGCTTGCTTTATTGTTTCGTGGCAGCTGGTGGAAATGTGCGTTTTTGCAATCAGAGTGTTGGAAAGTAGAAGAGAACGACGATAAGGCAACCGAACCAAATACAAAGGAATGCCGACAACATCGGCTTTTCCTTGTTTCGGGAATGGCAAGCTTCCTGGCTCTCTGCTTTCTGCTTTTGCCCGGTGTCCTGTCGGTGGCGCCCACATGCCCGGACCGCTGCGACTGTCAGCACGCGCAGCACCTCCTGTGCGCCAACCGGGGGCTGCGCGCGGTCCCCAGAGCCCAGCTTCCCAAGCAAGCGGACATCCTCGTGTTCAGCCTCGCAGGTAACTTCATACAGAACATCACCGCTTCCGACTTCTCACGCTTGGACGGTCTGATTCGGCTGGACCTGCAGTACAATCAGATCCGGAAAATTCATCCGAAGGCATTTGAGAAACTGTCCAAACTCCAAGAGCTGTATCTGGGCAATAACTTGATATCTGTCATCTCCCCGGGTACTTTGCAGTCTTTGAATAAACTAAAGATTTTATATGGCAACAGCAATGACATAAAAGAGATAAAGCCGGACTGCTTTGGAAATCTGGGAAGCATTATAAAGCTTCGTTTGGACGGAAACTCTATAGAGAAATTACCAGACGCAGTTTTCAAAAGTTTGCCTAATCTGATGTACCTCCATTTAGAATCTAACAAACTGCGGTACATCCACAGGAACGCCTTTATAAACCTCACCAACCTCCGCTTTCTGAACCTGTCCGGCAATAAGCAAAAAAGCATCCGGAATATTTTAACATTTGCCTCACTCCCGTCTCTGACAACATTGCTGGTCTCGGAGAATGAAATCCAACATATCGGCAACCACGTCTTTCAGAATCTCAAAAAGTTGTTAAAGCTCTCTTTGAGCAACAACAAGATTTCTCAGGTCGAGCTGGGGGCTCTCAAGGGACTGTCAAACGTCAGAGAACTGCTGATGGACGGGAACGAGCTGGTCCACATCCGGTCTGGTGTCCTCGACCCCCTGGAGAGGGTAGAGGAGATAGACTTCAGCCGCAACCGAATTTACAGCGTCGAGCCTTCAGCTTTTACGCAGCTACAGCATCTAAAGATTTTGAAGCTGGAAAAGAATCAGTTGACAAGCCTATCCGGGGGTATTTTTGCACTCAATGGCGTTCTCTATAATTTATATTTAAACGGCAACAACTGGACATGTGACTGTAATATCTTGGAATTTAAGCAGTGGATGAACACGGCACATTCTCAGGGGAGACTCCTCACCGTGTTTGTTCAGTGTCAGCACCCCGACGCTCTTAAGGGAAGGTATCTCGACTACCTGAACAGCACACAGCTTCTGTATCAGGGGAACAACTCGCAGCCCTGTGGGTCCGACAGCCCAGTGGAGAGCCTTGCTGGTGGGCTTCTGGAGAGCGCATTCCCACGGAAGGAGCTGAATATTCAGGCGGACCAAGGAGGGGTGGGCCAAACAAAGAAGCCTCACGCAGAGAAAAACAAACGGAAGAGCGTCGTTCCAAGGTCAGGATCACCTACAAGCGCTGCTGGGAAGACAGACACAGGGAGGGTTGTGTCCTCATCTGCTGGGACCCCCCCCAAACCAAGCCCTTTGGCAACCAAGTCACCGTTAACGGTGCCTAAACGGAACAGCATTGAGCTTCCAGTTGCCACCGTGCCTCTTCCAGGAGAAGCTGAGAAGTTTGACCGGCTCCAGCAGGAGAGGCTGGGTTTCCCCCTAGTGACCGATCCATGCCAGTTCAACCGGCACTTTATTGTGAACGTGACTGTGAGCCAGGTCTCCTCGAACTCTGCCACCATCACCTGGTCTGTCCGCGAGCACCGGAGCGCACCGGCGTCAGCAGTGAGCTTCCGGGTCCTGTTCGACCGCTTCGGACAGGCGGTACGTTTCCCGCGCTTCGTGTACGTGCGGGACGGGGGGCACTCGGTGACACTGCACGAGCTGAGCGTGGACACCACCTACATGGTGTGTGTGGAGGGTCTGGTGGGCGGGGCCGTGTGCCAGGTGGCTTCCCGGGATCACTGCACAGGAGTGGTCACTCTGGGGACGGTGCGGTCCGGTGCTGACCTCCAGCTGGTCACCATGGCGATGCTGGGGGTCAACGCGTTGCTGCTGCTGCTAGTGGGGGGAGCCTGGATGGGGCGCAGACTCAGGCGGAGGCTTCAGCACAGGAAGTCCGCCGTGCACGTCCGTCACATGTACTCGACCCGCCGGCCGTTTCGCGCCATGGCCCCTGCTGTCGCCTCTGATTTCACCAGCTACCAAAGCAGCCGGCCCAGGATGTGTCCTGTTGACGAGGGGGACCTTATTGAGTTTCCCTGCGATCGTTTCCTTGACAACAACAGTACGAGGCGGGACGAAGCCTTGCAAAGGTTCACAGACTGATGCTTGGCTTGAAAAGCCAGTGACCTAGACTAGAGAGCAGCTCCTTATGTCCTGGATCTGTTTAAGGAGATTGCAGACTTGTGGAGAAATGCGCTGTCACTGCAGAAATACTGTCGTCACTCCCAGTAAAATGACTTTGTTTTGCTGAGAATGTGTGTTTTTCACGAATCTTCCACAATTTGAGCCAGACATTTCCTTTTCCTCGTTGAAAAGTTTGCACCTGGAATTTGCTGTCAGCGTGTGTTTGCATGCGTGTGCCTGTGTCTGCGCGCATGCGTGTGCCTGTGTCTGCGCGCATGCTCACACGCAACCCCGTGGGTCCAGTGACATCACAACTGTACATCACCCTGAATTTCTCTGGTGCTCATAAAACAGGATCACTTTTATTTAATTTTTTTTATTCAAAGCATTTGCATTTTGTAGCTGCTGGCAATTCTGAACTGTAGGGGGCTTAGGGTTGGCAGAAACATTGCTTTTATTTTCCTACATTTTAGTATCTTTCTTTATTATTATTTTATCCTTTTGTTCATTCTTGTGACCAGGAATTCAAAGTGTATTTTCTAAATATGCAATAACCTGTAGATCTTTAACTTTCTTAAAAAAAAAAAATCACAGTTTTTTTTGTAACATCTTGCATCACATTTGCTACATATGTACTTTTTATATTTTTCAATAAAACGAAACAACTCTGATGCCCGTTTGAAGTTGTTTTTTGTAAGGATGTTTACATTTTTTTGTTTACTGTGACAAAAGCGATGGATTTATCTCCATGGGAGACCACGACGTATGCTTCATAAGCTTTTACTAAGGTTTTACCAGCCTCTTTTGGGATGCACTTCTGCCCAAGATTCTTAGTCACTAACAAATCCACATCATTTTTGGGGACAGCCCGTCTATTTGTGTGCTTCTGTGTGTTTATATAGCATTGAGCCCTGCATATTTTTCTGTCTACACCGGGGGTGTGTTCTGCGTTATCGTGAGTGTGCACGGTACATGACAGGGTGTGTGTGCACGGTACATGACAGGGTGTGTGCACCGTAGCCTGCCTGTCTACTACTTATATCTGTAATTTAGCCCTTGTTTGGTAAGTTAGGGTGGAGGTTTATCTTAGAGTTTCTACTTTAGCTTCAGATCTTTAGAAGAGGGAGGATGGCATGTTCTAATTTCAGTGCTACTCTCAGCTTCAGCACCATGGAATGTTCTAGATGAGCCTCAGGAAAACCTAGATGTGGGAGTTTACGAGGTCCAGCTCCAAACAACTCCACTGCCTGTGTATACTCTTCTGCACATTCCAACAAACAAAATGGTCTCTTGGTCGTCATTTCCACCACATCCAATATGGTGACGGTTCTAAGCCTGAATGTATGTGAAATGATACAAAAAAGCAGAAATGGCCTGATTTAAAAACCCGTTTTAACCCTTGTCAACCTCATTTACACACTTACTATGCAGTTAATAAGCTTTTATTTTGTACCCTGGAGTGATAAGTAATGTGTCAGCTGTAGTCTTTGTTTTTAAGTCCAGTCTTGACGCTTCAGTAAGCTGTTTAAAAGCTTAATAATTGCAGGTTCCTTGGCATTAACTGATAATGTGCTCTATAAAAATGCAGTAATTTTACACAACTCTGGGGAAGGCAGTTAATAGCAATATGATGCATCGTTGTTATTGCCTGAGAGCCGTAGATAAATTTCTCCCTGACTCAAAATGAGTACAATTTGGTGTTCAAAAACAAATTTTTGTTTGCTTCAAATTTTCAAAAAAGCAGAGGTGGATAGTTCATGTCCAGAAAGTAAAAATCCAGGCCAAAGTTTTATTTCAACCAACCAGTTTCGTACTCTGTGACCATGACTCTTTGTGCTCAACTGGTTGGTTGAAGCAAAATCTTGGTCAGGATTTTTACTTTCTGGACCTGAACTTCCCAACCCTGCAAAAAAGCAATCAGCACGTTGATGACTTTCGCAGTAGTTTCCTGTTCGCTGCCAATTTTCTGTAGACGAACAAACCTGGGTTACAGGGCGGTTTGTAAACTGCAAAGCAGCAGCTGAAAGTGTAACAGGAACCACTATTTTTAACTTATTATGTCTAGGGCACGGGTATCAAACTCCAGTCCTGAAAGGCCGGAGCCCTGCACATTTTTGGGTTTCCCCTCATTTAACAGAACTGATTCAACTCCTTGTGCTAATTACCACACAGCTCTTGAGCTGAATCATTTGTTGTGGAACAGGGAGAGAACTAAGCTACACAGGTCTCCGGCCCCCCAGGACTGGAGTTTGACACCCCTGGTCTAGGGTGACCAGATAATCCATGTCAAGGAGGATACTTTGAGCTGGGACAGGATGTGTCCTTTTCAATAAAAAGGACCTGGATTTCACTTAAGCACTGAGTTCTTGCTGTGTGCTGATTGGTCAGTCTCCTTCAATCATGCACGTGTCACTAATGTTAATGAGAAACAGCTGGATGGGTCTTTCAATCAAGAAAACAAACCAGTCAAAGAAGAAGAAAAACTATTTAGTCAAACACAGGAACCTTTCAGTTTTAAAGTAGTTTGTAAAGCCTGAAATAGCTCAAAATGTCCTTGCTGGGTCTGCTGACATGGATTAGATGATCTCCCCACTAACAGCTGAGTGTGCCGACAGCATAGTCCCTGATGGTGACACGTATTCTTCTTAATAATAGAATGAGATGGGTAAGTACACAGCACTCATCGCTATTGCTAAATAGGCTTGGATAAAGACACGCTCTTGGCTTGAATCCTATCCCTTATAATATTGATTATTTGGCTGCAACTCCTCAAATCTACACTAGAGGGAGGCAGTGTCCTTTATAAAGAATCCCGGAAGCGTACATGTGGCAACATCTGCTGAACTTCGGAAATGTTTATTTCTGCTTAAATCTGTTTATTCACAGATAAATTGTAAAACTACAGTAGATCTTGGCTAGATTTCACAATCGCTTTGTGTTGATTTTTTTTTAAACTACATTATACCATATATGGGTTTCACGCATTTGTTCAGTACCAGTCCTAGCCGATCTGGTGGCCGGCCAAGCATTACCACGGGCCTCCCCCAGTCCGAGGCGAAATGAAATTGGCTGGCAAGTACGTGGCCCCTCAGAAGCTGGCGCCATAGGCGGCCGCCTATGTCGGTTATAAGATTAACCAGCCCTGTATTTGTTTATAAAACCTTAGACGTAAAGAAAAAAATGGCATATTCACCGAGCTGTTGCTGTGCTTTAGTAAGAAGAAGCTTTCATTTTTAACCGATGACTATAACATTCCGAGAAAAGTTAAATGCTCATTCTAGGCACATCTTCAAGTAATTCCGAAGCTTTTGTGTCTGCTTTTTGTCACACACAAACACTCAAGCACGCTGTTAGAGATGAGTGTTTTATTTTCATACTGGATCTGCGCGGATATTTCACATTTGTACAAATGCATAAAAACACAAAACAAAGGGCAAGTCTGAGGCATTAATAAACTCATAGAAATATACAAAGTTATACAAACCTGTATGAATTTTATCTATTATGCATAATAAAATTAACAATAAATGTTCTGATATAGGAGACATGAATCTTGAAAGTATTAAGTGCTATTAAATTGTTATGCACAAATATGTACCACTGACTCCTTTCAGAGAGAAAGGTGGTTATGCTTACAAGTACAAGATTACAAAAATTATTAAATTCTATACAGTATGTAGGGTTTCATTATGATACATGTTTACACACTGTCGTCGCATAGGGAATTGTTTTCACGTCCCTCCACCCGGACAAAACACAAACTACACACTGTACTCCCTGCATAGAACACCCCGGAAGCACGCACTGTCACGCAGGGTTAAGTCAAAGCTGGAACCAAAGATTTCGAGAGAGCTGGGGTTAGATGTGGCACGTGTCTGCTGTCTTTGATTCGCTGGCGGTGGGGGGTCGGAACTGACAGGAGACGTAGGCGACCTGGGTCACAGACGGGGTACGGGTGCAGAGCGAGGGAGGAAGCATTTTGGAGAGGAAATATTTGTCTGCGTGTAATGAAACAATGGCACTGAAGTGACGGATCCGCTGAGAGTTTTAACGAGATGATTTCACGGTCGGCCCTTCTCTTCCTTGTCTCTTTGAGTGTCACCACCCCCACCCACCCCAAACATGATAACAACACCGTTCCAGTTCACAATAACACCGGTAAACCCCACAGTGTGCAAAAAAGGGCTATAATTCGTCCACCCCCGGGTCCCGCAGAGGACAAAGTGCATTAAAAGCCGCGTAAGATACCCCCCCGTCTTAGGTTATCGCCAGGCGGTCCGGGTGTGATGCAAGAACGCCGCCAATGGGTGCCTGAACATTCATAATCGTGCCTGTGTGTTTGTGTATTCGGTTTATATTACATTGTGGGGACCAAATATCCCCACAATGTAATAAAAACCTGTTTCTTTGACATTGTGGGGACCATTTGTCAGGTCCCCACAAAGATCTATGAATGCAATAAAAAAAAGTAAAATTACCAAAAGTCTTGTATTTTGGTTGCTTACTTATGGTTAAGGTTAGGGCTGGGTAGGTCATCATGTTGGGATTAGAGTTTTCCCCATAGAAATGAATGATGAGTCCCCACAAAGATATAATTACAAACTTTTGTGTTTGTGTGTCTGTGTGTGTGTCTGTGTGTATGTGCTTGTGTCAAGCGCAGAAATTCAGTTTGCTGTTGCTTTGGGCAGCGTGTCTGACACCGGAACCAGGGCCTGGTCCAAACATGTGAGACTGCATGACACTGTCGTCAGAGGCTGTCACTGAGACACCAGTATGCTGATGATATGATCAAAGGAGATTCAAGGTCTTCGGTATTTTTTTGTCTCAAAACAATCAAATCGTAGGTGACAATTTGAAAATTAGGCCAGACATTGGGGCTGTTCGTTAAACAACAGAGATGCAACTTTGTGGGATATTTCAAGGCAGAAGAGGCAACTGGTCAGAGGGGACACTGGTTTCCTAGGGTGGGGGGGGGGGGAATCTCCAACCACAGTGCTTTGGTCTGTTTGGTTTAGGACAGAAGTAGAAAGAAATATCTCTAAGGCTGTAGGGGAAAGGAGGTTCAAATCCTGAATATCTGTTTAAGCTAAAATAAAGATAACAAATTGAGAACAGACACACAAAAAACCCATAAAGACAGCTAGAGAAGATCGCATAGAAAAAACAAGTTTCAAGCTTGAGTGTTTTTTTTTTTCTGCAAGAAATCCTGACACATGTGAACCCCTGGAACAGAGCAGTGGGTCGGGTCAGGCACAGTCTCTAGAGGATGGGGTTGATGCCTGTGCGAGTGCTGAGCTGCCCCAGCACAGCTTTGCCCCCTACTGCAGTGGAGGTGGTGATGGTGTTGTGTTGGATGACCTGCTGTTGAGTACACACAGGGCTGGGACTTCCTGCCGGACTGCTTTCTGGACCTGGGGAAAAGGAGATCTGTCAATTGTGTACTAAATGGACTGCTTGACAATTTGACTGTGTGACTTGGGTTAGGATCCAAATATATAAATGTACTTTGATTAAAAAAGCATTAATTGTTTAAACATTCATATACTGTATGTGTACATAGATCCAGAGGTGCAACGGTGTTTTGATTGGTGCTCAGTGGAAGACTCCATTTCCCTTGTTAGGGGAGGGGAGGTGGGTTCCATTCTAGTTTCACTGGAGTTCCATTGGAGTTTCACTGAGGACACAACCATTCTGCTGTCCCCCTGCACAGGCTAGCTGGGCCTCAGCGTGACACATCCACACTCTGGATGATGGGCTGTGACGGAAAGGCCCGGAGGAGTGAGCGCTACTCACTGAGATACCCCTGCGACTCCTTCTGCATGGCTGTGACCGGGCAGTCTTTGTGGGTCAGCAGGAGCTGCTTCAGCTGCGTTACCTCTGTCTTCAGCATGGTCACCTCGTTCTGAGACAGGAACCACAAAGCAATGAAAGACTTTTACAGACAGACGCTCACATGGGTGACAGTAACGAAACTGCAATACATAAAACTGGCTGTGCTTGTTATATTGCCAAGCAAAAGCCTGAGCTATAAGTCAGATATACTGTAAAATATGATATGAAATCAGATATGAGGTATGTGAGATAGAAAAGATCAATTTGTGAGCTGTAACGAGGTATTTAAGATTCAGAATGAATAATATTTCAGCAATTTCAAGGTTTTTCATAAAAGTGAGGTATGTGTGAGATATAAGCAAAGATAAAGGGTCATAATGAGGTGTGTGAGATATAAGCAAAGATAAAGAGTCATAATGAGGTGTGTGAGATATAAGCAGAGATAAAGAGTCATAATGAGGTATGTGTGAGATATAAGCAAAGATAAAGGGTCATAATGAGGTATGTGTGAGATATAAGC